AAGGGGGCGGGACGCTGAGCCGGAGCACAAGGGGACAGCACCAGCGCCCAGCCCCTCCACCCCCCTCATCCAGGAAAGGGGCCCTTGAAAAGATCCCGCAGGATAAACAGAAAAGGAAAGGAAGAACACACAGGCTTCCTTCCTTGGGACAAGCCACTCAACTCCCCCGGGGGGAGGGGGGGAGAGGGGGCAGGGTCTGTGGCTCTAAGCCCCACCTTCCAGAACAGGTGACATTAGGATGCGGACAGACCCACCAGGCCCAGGGGGGTGGCACTGCCAGCCAGGAGGGACATGGTGTCCTGGGGGCAGACCCTCACTATGAGGTAGAGGCCACGGCCAAAGCCTGGCAGCTCCTTGGGGACCAGCATTCACCCCCAATGACCTGCCGGATGTCACGAAGCCGGTGGAGCAAGGGCTCTTCATCCGCCAGCACCGTCCGCTGGACTGCAAGGGTGAGAGGCGAGGCCTGTGAGCACCAGGCACCAGGCCCACCTCTGCGAACAGGCCCTGGGGCGCCAAACGGCCGGTCGGTGGAGACAGCGACGGCAGGCCGCTCACTCACCTTGCCTGCTACCCATGAGCACCTCCACCAGCTGGAAGCTCTCAGGACCCTCGGCCTGTTGGGGGGAGGGGGGGCAGAGTTTGGGGGCCTCAGGCCTGGACTGCCCACTCCCCCAGGACACTCACACGGGGCAGCCGGCCCGGCAGGCTGGCCGGGAGCACTGGCGCGCACGCACCTGGCGCCCGAGCAGCGGCAGGACCTCCAGCACCACAGTCCGGGCGGTGCTCTGTGCGGTCACGCGGATGGACACGTAGGCCACACCCACCCTGCAGGGAACAAGCTCAGGAGCCTGGGTCCCACGGCCCCCACCCCTCCCAGCTCCCGCTGGCGGACCCTGGGCCTCGGGCCTGGGTCTCACTTGAGCCAGGCAGGGTAGATCTTCAGGACCTCCTGGGTGCGGGGCAGAGCACGGATGATGCAGGCCTCGGGCACGGCCTCTCGGGCCCCCGGGCCCCGGCCGCCCTCCTCCTCTGCAACCCCACCGCTCCAGGGTCTTCCCCGCGCCC